GTGGAATAAACTCCCTCCAGAGGTGGTGCAGTCACCTACCATGGAGGTTTTCAAGAGGAGACTAGACAGTCACTTCATTGGGGTCGCCTAACCCCAGTTGTCTTCCTGCCTAGAGTTAGGGGGCTGGACCCGATGATCTGCAAGGTCCCTTCCAGCCCCTAACAATCTATGAATCTATGAACAGTACTGGCACCTCCCAAACTCCCATCTTCACCAGATCCAAAGCACTCTGCAAACAGGAACTGAGCCCCTCATTCCTCTTCCCCCTAAAGGAGTCTGTTTTAGACAGGGCAACTGAGGCACAGTTTATTAATGGGAGTCTTGCAACAGCACCAGGGCCAGAACTTGGATCTCCCAATTCTCCATTTTGGGCTCTTGCCACTGCACCACCTGCAGGAGACCAGGGTTCAGTTCTCAGCAGCTCTCTTGCCCCCATGTGGCAGAGGCTGGCAGTGCCATGCTGGCAGGCCAGGGCCTTTCCCTGGCTCTGGTGCACGGGATTGGCTGGCACCAAGCTCACTCTTTGTCTCTGTTATGTGCAGCTGGGGAAGATGCCAAAATCCGGATCTGGCGAATCCCTCCAGGAGGGCTGCAGAAGATGCTGCTGGAACCAGAGGCTGTGCTCCGAGGTAATGGTCGTGTGGGTGTGAGGGTGCCTTCGCCCTCCCAGCGGGAAGGTATTATGAGTGGTCTAAGGGCTCTTCATTGTACAGGGCAAGCACTCAGTGGCCAGCCCTGGAGGAGGCCAGGACTTTTCTGACTGCTGTGTGGCTTGTTTAAGTAGTGCAGGCTGTGGTGGGTGGGTAGACCCTGCTCGGGTGGCCTTGGCAGAATGTAGAAAGCAGACCAGCCCTGGCTGGGCTGTGGCTCCCTTGCCCAGGTGGCCCCTCACACTGAGGACACAGGGCCAGAAGCACTTTCCACTTCCTCTTTCCCGAGGTCATACAGAGAAAATCTACTCCATCCAATTCCACCCGCAAGCGGCCGACATCCTGGCCTCTTCCTCCTATGACATGACGGTGCGGATCTGGGACCTACATACCAAGCAGGAGGTGCTGTGCCTAAAGGGACACACTGACCAGGTAGGAGGCGAGCCAGCCTGTGGCAAAGCCAAGCCAGGGAGGACAGGGCTGAGGCAGAAATCAGGGCACCACCTGGGGGTGGAACCAGAGTGTGGAAGGGATACACTGATGCACCGGGGAGCAGGGAGGAGGAGCGACAGATCTGTTCTGCCACATTAAGCAGGGCTGGACCTGGGTTGGGCTGGGTGACTTCTGAGGGCAATGTAGGAGGAGCTGTTGGTGATAGAGCATTGAATGCTGGGACATGGAGTCTGTGATGGCCACTGTGTTGTTCAGCACTCCTGGAGCAGGGTGCTGGGAACCTATCCCTGCCATGCTTAACCACAGCCAGCTCCATCGCAGGATCCAACAGCACAGAGGGGATGGGGCATCCTAAGACATATCTGCAGGGGCAGCCATTGGGACCTGGAGCATATACCAGCGTATTAACAGTCAGGCTGGAGTTGGGGCTCTAAGTGCTCACCCATACCTGCTGCCTGGGCTAGGGGTGCCCCTCTGGCTGTGGGGCTGAGATCTGTGCTATAGAGCAAGAGGCCTCAGCACCAGCTCTGCTGAGCTGTTACTCTGATGTGTTGCTGCAGTTGTCTCCCAAGGCTTGTTGTGCCCTGTACCACTGCAAGCTGCATGTTCTACATGTGTGGTTTGGTCACCAGTACCTGCTTTGGCCTGGGTTGCTCTAATCTAGTGGTGTTCAACCTGTGGTCTGTGGGCAGGATCCAGCCTGTGGGGTTGTGTCATTTGGTCCAGGGAGCTCCCCACAGGTCTGGAAACTTGGCAGTGGTGAAGAAGTTGCAACACTGATTGCTGGTGGCTCTGGGACTGGGCCAGCATGTTGGATTGTACCCATGGACTAACTCCATGTGCCAGCCCTGTACTGGATTGGGCCCCCAGACTGGCCTCACACTACTCGTCCAGCCTGCAGGGCCAGATAAGTTGAGCACCAATGGTCTAAACTAAAATCACAGTGTCGACAGGGAGCTTTGCTGAGATGGTTGGAACCCTGTTTCCTTTAAACTGGGCAATGCCAGTTTGTGACTGGGCCCTTGGCAGGAGGCACTGACATGGGTCAGGGTCCCACTCCATGGGGAGGGTGATGGGAAGTGCCTTGTGGGGCACAGCTCTTCCCTCTGCTCTGCTGTAATCCTTGCTCATGCAGGCAGTATTCTCCCTCCTGACTGTTCTGTGCTTTTCTCAGATTGGTTCTCACACTGAGTCTAAGAGGAGGGTTTGTACTGGGAGGAGCAGGCTGGAGTTGCCACTCACCCAGCCCATCAGTGGCTGTGCCCTCCCTGGCCCCAGGTGGTGCTGGAAGAGCCCAGTGTGGAGGCAGATTGTCATGTGCAGTGCAGCCATCACTGCGGGCTGGGACACAAAAGATATCAGCATCGGGTGTCTTACAGATCTTCAGCCTAGCCTGGAGCCCTGATGGGCGGAAGCTGGCCACAGTCAGCAAGGATGGCAGGGTGCGGCTCTATGAGCCCCGGCGGTCGGTGGAGCCGGAGCAGGTGAGGTAGAAGTCATCAGGCAGATCACTTGTGTGGAGCTCAGCCGGGGGGATGGAAAGCAGGGGTCGTGCTGGGGTGGAACCCCCGAGCCATACAGACAGAGTGGATCCTGGGGAGAGTGCTGCTGGCAGTGCTTTGTGCATGGACGAGCAGGTGGAGCAGGCTGCAGGGGTGTATGTGTCTCTGCCCAAGCCCGTTGCTTACACACCATTGCTCCCCCCAGCCTGTGTGTGGCCCCTTATACAACCATTAGGCTCTGGTCATGCTCCTGGGAAAGGCCATCTGCATGGGCAGGGGGTGGTGCCTAGAGGAATAACCCTAGTCTCTTCCTCTCCTACAGGATGGCCCAGGCCCCGAGGGCAGCCGAGGTGCCCGTGTGGTCTGGGCATGTGGTGGCCACTACCTGCTGGTCTCTGGCTTTGATAGGTAAGGCCAGAGTCCACTTCCCCTGCTGGGGCCTGTGCCTGCTGGGCTTCTGCAGCTTGTTGACCCCACTGGCCACTACCAAATGCCTAGGAATGTCCAGCTTCCCATGATGGGGCACTTGGTCCTGCCCTTCCCATCCTGTGTAATTAATTGCAAGGGCCCCATCCAGCCTGACCAGAGCTCAGGCACTTGTAGAGGAAGGTGGCAGCTGAGTCTGAACTTGGGTACTTGATTGATTGAAGGCAGCAATTAATGCTTCCGAGTCAGGACCACCAGTCCTCTGAAATTTTGCGCCAGTCCAGGCAGCTGCCCTGAATAGGTGAGACTGATGCAAGGAAGTGCTGGTGCCCAGAGCTCTCCCCACTGTCCCTGCCCTGAGCTAGCACAGTGCCAGCACTTGTCAGAACCAGGACTCCTTTGTGGCCAGAAGCATTTTCTCAAGGGTTGTATCTATGACCTTGCTGCCACAGATAGTGGGGACAGACAGCACAGACAGGGCACTTCTTCAGCGTCGCTCCGAGCAGGGTCAGGCCAGTCACAAGACACCTCCCCAGCAGAGCCTTTAGTCACAGGAGACTCCCAGTGCCCAGCTCCCAGCCCAGTGAGAGGGCCCAGGACTGCTGGAGATGGTTTGTCCCAGATGAGAAGCCCACCAGGCCTCTGACAGGTCACAGGTACTATCCCAGGATTAGGGGCTCTAGCTGGGAGCAGGACCTGGCAGGTAGCTCGAGGAGACTGACAATGCTGGGGCTTGGTCCATCCCAGCTTGTTACTTGCAGGAAAGCCCAGAGCTGCTTGGGGTTCTTATGGGCCCTAGAGGAGATGGCATTCCTCACTTTTTTCCTGAACTGTCATGATGTACAGTTAAATACATGAAGTATCCCCTCCCAGAGGTGATGTATCCCCTCCCAGACTGTGCTTTGCCTGTGAGTCAGTTCTGGGGCAGACAGCACCATTGACAAGGCACCAGAGGATTCTCTGAGACCAAAGGTGACGTGGCTGTGCCTGGGTGTGGTAGCAGCTGTGGATTTGGCAGGACAGTAGGCCTGAGGCCTCCATGTGTGGGAGGCTAGTGAGGTGTGACACCCCATGCAAAGGTCACTGGGAATAGGGGCTCCTCTGCCCTTCAAGAGAACGTCAGAGCAGGAAGAAACCATCATGTGTGCAGACTGGGTGCATCATGTAAGATCAGCTTGGTCAGCCTCTCTCTGCCAGTATCCAGGCAGAAAATAGCCCTGTGTCTCTATCTCCAGCTGTCTATCAGGACCCAAGATGGGGGTGGGAGGAGATCCCCACTTCCTGTCTCCCCTGATAGATCCAGGGGCAGGTCCTGAGCAAGAGAGAGCTATCGTCCGCATGTCTGAACCAAGATGGCCACCACGCTGCATGCCTACTGCACAGTAACACCCAGCTTCCCACATACTAGAGCCATGTGGGCTAGCGCAGAGGTTCCCAACCGCCAGGCTGTGGCCCAGTATCAGGCTGCGGTGGGTTGGCTACCCAAGTTCCCCGCTCAGACCGCCGTCTGTCCGCCCAGGAGAGCGGCTTCCAGCTCTGGCCAGGCTGCGGTATAAAAAAGGTTGGGAACCACTGGGATGGAGTATGGGATTGTTTGGCTGGTAACACTTGCCTCACCATCCCCTGTGGCCAGTATGGACAGCAGATGGTTGTGGTGCTCTCTCCGACAGCCGCAGTGAGCGCCAGTTGTATCTGTACAAGGCCAACTCCCTGTCTGCTGGGCCTATAGCAGTGGGCACTGTCGATGTGTCTCCCTCCACCCTCATCCCCTTCTATGACGAGGACACCAGCGTTGTCTTCCTGACAGGCAAGGTGAGTGGAGGAATCAGTGTCCTGGGTGGACAGGGCTGTTTGGCAGTCCCTGATTTCCTTAGCCCAGTGGGGCCAACCTTTTTGGCAGATATGCCACAGATTGGTAGGTATGCCACAAATATAGTTTCATAGTTTCTAGGGTCGGAAGGGACCTGAGCAGATCATCTAGTCCGACCCCCTGCCATGGCAGGAAAGAGTACTGGGGTCAAATGACCCCAGCAAGGTGTTCATCTAACCTCCTCTTAAAAACCCCCAGGGTAGGAGCCTGCACCACCTCTCTTGGAAGTTGGTTCCAGACCCTACCCGCCCTGACCGTGAAATATCGCCTCCTGATGTCCAACCTAAACCTACCCTCTGCCAGCTTGTGACCATTATTCCTGGTCACTCCTGGCAGTGCTCTGGGGAACAGTGACTCCCCCAGTGCCTGCTGATCCCGCCTGATTAGTTTATAACAGGCCACAAGATCCCCCCTCAGCCTTCTCTTTTGGAGGCTGAACAGGTTCAGGTCCCGTAGCCTCTCCTCATAGGGCCTGCCCTGCTGGCCCCTGATCATGCAAGTGGCCCTCCTCTGGACCCTCTCGCTGCTGTCCACATCCCTCTTGAAGTGCGGCCCCCAGAACTGGACGCAGTACTCCAACTGTGGCCTGACCAGTGCTGCATAGAGGGGGAGGATCACCTCTTATGTTACAGGAATATGGAGCACATTCCACAAGTGCCACTGCACTCCCCTTCCTCTGTGATATATGCTGCTCTGCTTTCTACTCTCTGCCCTGTGCTCCCTGTCTTATCTGCTGTTCTGCTTTCTGCTTCATGCCACACAAAGGGGTTGCCTGTGCTACTTGTAGCACATGTGCCATAGATTGGCCACCCCAGCCCTAGTACGTGCAGATCCTCTGCCTGGCCTTTGATGTTCCTGCCAGGGCATAGGAGCCCAAGTTATGGCTACAAGATGCTGTGTAGCATGTAAAGAGGGCAGCCTCCAAAGAGGAGACTCTGGGGGGACCCCGCTTAGTGCTCAGACCAGGTCTCCCTGCATTTCCACTGCTGGGGTTAGTCCAGCCCACCCAGAGCTGCCAGGTTGCAGGCAGTGCCCAGCTGTGAGCACATCCACATCCAGACTGTGCATGGGGAGCAAGCAGGGGTCCGGCGGCCTTTGCTGATCTGAGCAGCCCCTGCTGGCCCTCTGCATCAGTGAGCAAAGAGGCTGGCAAGGCGAGGGTCTTCCTGCCCTGGGGCTGTGATTGATCCTCTGAAGGGCCTAGACTTTGTGCCTTGAATGGTCCTGGGGAGCATCCCCTGCCTCAGCCTGCAGCCTGACAGGCAGCCCTGGGTGCCACACTCCCACGCAGGGAGGGAAGGGTTGTGCTGTTCCTGGGTGAGGGGTCTGGTCCCTCTTCATTGCCTCTGGGACTCAACCCACTGACCCATGTGATGCCAGGTACCCCACCCTGCAGGCCTTGTCTAATAGGAGCCCTGGACTTCTGGGGCCTAATAACTCTCCCTCCCCCCACATGCCCCTTCTCCCACTTGAGTCCCAGGCAGAGATGAGCATGGGATGGTGGCAGGCCCACCCAGACCCCTACCAGCTGCAGGGAGCCCTCCTTAGACCTCCTCTCACTGCCCAATGCATCTAGGGGGACACACGAGTCTTTGTCTACGAGATTGTCACTGAGGCGCCCTTCTTCCTGGAGTGCAACAGCTTTTCCTCCAGCGACCCCCACAAGGTGAGTGCTTTGGGTGTATACAGCCTCTGCAGAGACCAGCACTCTCCCTGCTCCTAAAGCGCGAAGGCTGGATTGGGCTGGGAACAGCAAGATGAGCCCCACATGTCACAGTGGCTCAGGAAAGCCAGACATAGGTCCATGCCTCAGGATGATGCAGTCTACAGCACTTGGGCTCTGAGGCACATCCATCCTGCCCAGCCCATGTTTGCTGAGGCTGTGTCCAGCCTCCCCTTGAGCACCCCCAGGGAGGCATCTGGCCTCTTCTCAAAGCAGTCTCTCCACGTCCTGCCCCACCCTGACTGTCCTTAGGACCCCAGCCCCACGCCCTTGGGTGCAGCATGGGGAAGACAGTTCCTCCGGCAGCTGTGCCGGCACCTCGGCCTACTCTTACTCCACTCCCAGCCCCTCTCCATTTCTGGCATATTTGGAAACTGCCCCCTAGTGGCTGTCCAGGTGCGTTACCACCCCGGTAGCTCATGTGCTGGTTGTAACCTGAATGCTCTGGGGGGCTAGGACCCTGCCCCAGATTCAGCCTAGAGTGAGCTGGTGTGCAGCACCTGGCCAGATCACCAGCACTTTGGGGAGCAAGAGCCTGGAGTGCAGGTGACCCAGCCCCTGGGACCAAGACAGCCTGAGTGCTGTGGGGCCTGACATCACCCCTGTACTTTCCCAGGGCTTCGTGTTCCTGCCCAAGACTACGTGCAATGTGCGGGAGGTGGAGTTTGCCAGGGCCCTGCGTCTGAGGCAGAGCTCTGTGGAGCCAGTTGTCTTCAAGGTGCCCAGAGTCAAGGTAGGCCCTGTCGCCCAGCTGCACAGCTGTTACCAGGGTAGGCTCCCCAGAGAGACTGTGCCCTTTTGGCTGGCCAAGGACCTGCTCCTTCCCACTAGTGCTGAAAGGCCCTGGATGAGGGGCTAGCCCAGGGCTGACTCATTCTCCCAACTTCCCCCCCGTGCAGAAGGAATTCTTCCAGGATGACATCTTTCCCCCCACGACCGTGTGGTGGGAGCCAGCCCTCACTGCTGCTGCATGGCTCACAGGCAGCAACGCGCAGCACCAGACACTGAACCTCCAGCCCAAGGACATGACTCCAGGTGGGAGCAGGCAGGCTCAGGGTGCACTCTGGGGCAGAGGGATGGGGGCTGGGCCTCACAGCCAGGTTTAACCTGGGCCTTGAGTGCTTTCAGCCCCTCACCCCTGGCAGCAGCATTGTCGGGGGGTCCTGATAAAGGATTCTCCACTGATGGGAACTGCTGGAAAGGACTCACAGGTTGGTGCTGTGAGTTCTTGCCAGGCTGGGCCACACCAGGTCAGCTTGGCTGTGGTATGGCTGGAGTGGGGACCAGGAGAGTGGGCTGGCCTGGTGGGGGTTGCCTCTCTCAGTGGGCCTGTTTAAAGGCCAGTGCAGTTCACTATTAACCTGTGTGAACTTTGAAGCATTCCTGTAAAGCAGAGATGCTGCGCAACATGAGGGCAAAGGCAATGTTCACAGGGCTGGCGGGGATCCCTAGGGCCAATGGGTCCAGCCACCTGCCCTCACAAGTACTACAGCACATCAGAAGAGGGTGTTGGTGATGTTCTTTCTCCCTGATGGTGGCTCTTTCCCCAGTGAGCGAGGCCCCAAAGGATGTCCCGGTCAGAAAGTATGCCCCGTCATCTGTCTACCTGGAGGAGAAGTCTGATGAGCAGAAGAAAGAGGAGGTGAAGATCCCTGTGTGGGGCTGAGAGAGGCATAATCCCACCAAGCACGTCACTGCCCACTGTTGGCCCATGCTGGGTTCTGTCACATTATTTGGCACTGCTGGGCCTCCACCAGCAGGAACCAACACTGCCCACCAACATTGCCAACTGGGGGCCAGAGATCTGGCACCACAGTACCCAAGAAAGGGACAGGCACTCATGTGCCACGTTGCCAGGGGCTTATAGAACCTGTTTCATCAGAAGAATCCCTGGGAAGGGGTGGCAAGCAATGGATAAGCCCCCTGGTGCCCATCAAGGTACAGGTGCCAACCACCCTGTAATTCTTCTTGCAGTTGCTGAGTGCGATGGTGGCCAAGTTGGGCAACCGTGAGGACCCCCTCCCTCAGGACTCCTTTGAAGGGGTGGATGAAGACGAATGGGTAGGAAGACAGGGCTGGGGGCCTGGTTGGGGTGTCTGTGTGCGGAATGGGTGGTCTTTGTATGAACATGTTTCCCACATGCTCTCCTGGGCCTTGGGCTAGTTTCACTGACTACTGGCCCTTAGCTCTGCCCAGGATGTATGGAGGCCTAGGGGCCCTGTATGTCCTGGCTGCCAGGTATTTGGTCCCCTGAGAGGACCATGTGGAAACATGCTGCCCACTGCACTGGCCAATGCCTGGAGCTGTTCTGTGGCTTCCTGCTCCCAGTAGTGAGCTGGCCATGCAGCAGGCTTTGACTGGCTTGCTGTGGAGCAGAGCTGATGGTCCCCCTGCCTGATGGGAGCCTGACCCTGGAACATAGGCTCGGGAGAGGACCAGCAGGCTTCAAAGAGCTCGAGAGCCCTTACCAGGTGCTCATGCAGTCATGGCCCATTTTCCCCCTTGTTTGCAGAACTGTCTTACTGCTGTGGCAAGCTCTGGCTTGCCCCAAGCTGCCCAGCACAGTGCAGGGTGTTAGAGCTGAGCTCCCATGCCCATCTCCTGGCTGTGCTCATGCTGGTCTGTTCCTTTGCAGGACTAGTCCTGGCAAGGCAGTCCTGTTCCTTCAGCACCACAATCTCATCTCTGAAGCTGTCTGGATCCTTGCCTCCCTGCCTGTATTCTCAGGCCAAGAAGCCAGGCACCCCAAAGCCAGCACCAAGGCTTTGCAAGCAACTGGACTGCACCCCACTCCGATGGTGCTTACTCTGAAGAATCTCCCATGCCCACCCTAGTGTGCAAACCTCCCTGGTGGAGACCTGGACCACCTGCTGGACCTTCTCCCAAGTGCCCACAGAAGCCACCTGCCTTTCTAGCTGTGGGCTCCAAGTTCTGAGTCAGCTGCTGGTCCAGCATCATCTCTGCAAAGGACTGGCAGGATGTCTGAGGCAAAGCCCTCCTCTAGTCTCTAATGATCTGTCAGAGGAGGTGGGGAAGGGTGGTGCTGGCCATACCTCCCCCTGCTTTGTTTTCTGAGTTTGCTTGCTCCTAGCTAGAGCAGTATTGTCAGCAAGTCAGACAGGCTTGGGGGCTAGCTGTGCTCTGGCTGGTTATCATACATACATTTCTGCTGTGGGGAGTGCAGTGGGTTAGTGATAATTCAGGGACCAACCATGCCCCACAACTGCCCTCACTCAAGAGCATTTGGAGGGGACAGGGCCTTGGGACTGTGCCATCCAGGTTGGCCTGGCCCCAGACAGCTGTGTTCATGGCTGCAGACACCCTCAGTTTTGCCAGAGTTATGGCTCAGGCCCTCATTCAGCACAGTGCCTAAGTGCCTCACTTCAAGCCTGTACTTAAGTCTGTCCACATTCAACAAAGGACCAGCACATTACTTGGAAGTACTGACTTGCTCTGTTTCTTTCACTTAAGCAGGTGCTATTGAGACCAAAGGGCATAGGTGACCACCTTCGTAACACAGGGTATGACCAGTTCTAACCCAGCACACCTGATTGTAGACCCTACTGGTCCCAGCACAGCCATTGCCTGGTGCTCTCTAAATAGTAGAAATGCCAGTGCCTCCCCACAGAGGTAAAGCCCAGTGAAATTTTTCTTGAGTTGGGGGGGGGAGGGGTGTCAGTTTTCTGTAGCAAGGGCACCAGGGCAGCAGCCCTTCCTGTTGTGCATCAGTCCTTAGTCTGGGTCTAGATGGTGAGCAGGGGCCGGACAACAGAGAAACTCCACCAGTCAGCAGGAAATGGCTCCTTTGTGGGCAGTCCCAACAGAGGACCCAGGGGCAATATGGGCTGTGCAAATCAAATTACCCAGCCAGCCCTGGCTCCCTCCAGTTCAGGGATGTAGCAGGGAGCACAGTACTGTGCCACTGCTCATGTGGGACTTGTTCTGGCAACCTTCAGACCCTGAGTGGGGGCCAAGATGGCATCTTCCACAAGACTGACTTAAAGAACAGCTCACACTGTCACTAAATTCAGATCTGCTCCTCCCCTCACCCTATCCATGAGGCTGAGATGCAGCCTTTGGGCCAGCCCTGGGCTAGAACCCATGTGTGCTTACTCCATTCCGTTGCCTCTAGTGATGTCAGAGAGATGCATCAAGATGCTTTGCAGTGCCCACCACAACAGCAGCAGCAGCAGCAGCAGCTGATAGTGTCCTGGGGATAGCTACCCAAGCAGGTGCCAGCTCATGGGGTCACCTGTACATCTGAGGTGGTCTAGGAAAGCCCAGCCCAGCCAGTGGCCCATCCTGAAAGGGGAGTCTGCTGAGGCCAGAGAACCAGGCAATCCTGGCAAAGCATTGGGCACAAACAGCTGCAGGGCCAGGCACAGCAGGGAAGCCCGTTCTTGCTAAGAGGCCTGGCTCCTGGAGCAGCACTGGTGACAGGCCAAGGCAGAGCTATGTAGGGTGGTGCTCTGGGGCAGGAGCCAGCACAGGTACATCCATGCAGCACTAGGCACCTGCCTGCCCAGAGGGCAAGGGCAAGGCCCAGCAACACCCAGGTTGGGATGATTCATCTGTGACTTCTGTGAGCACTGAACAGAAGTGGGGGAAATGCTGGGAGATCCCTCCAGCCTGAACTTTGTCCCTAAGGCACCAGGAAAGGCTCTTTCCTGTTGCCCTTCATGGCCAGGGCTCGGGGCACAACAGGATCACCAGCTCCTCCCCTTGCCTGGCAGCCCCTCTGATACCGGCTGCCTTGTCACAGGCTGCTTCTACATGCAGGACCCCAGTGCCGGGGGAGGGCGGGTGATGCAGGGGTTGGTTAGACGCTAGCAGCCCGGGACCCACAGGCAGTGCTAGGCCTCCCAGGAGCTCCTGCCCCGCATGAGTCCAGCTGCAGCCGCGCTTCTGCCTTAGGATCTGCAGTCCCCGATTTTCAGCGTTGTGCTTCGGCACTGAAAAGCAGCTCCCGCCTCAGCTGCCACCAGAAAGGTGAAGGCCCCGCAGCCCACCCTGCCTTTGGGCACTGACGGGGGAACAGCGGTATTCTGCCCTCTCAGCTCTCACCCGCGCCCCCGTGAATCCTAACACCTGCCCCAGCGGGGTCGGCCGGGCCGGAACTCCCCCAGGCCGCAGCAGAGGAGCGGGGCCGCCGCCCCAACCCCGGCCGTGTGCACGGAGTCCAGAGCGGGGCGC